CTGTGTGTGGGAGTGTGCGAGAAGAGAACGAGACAAACGGGAGAAAGGGAGAGACAGAAAGAAATAAAGGAAAGGGGGGGGGGCACAATGAAAACATGTTTGTAGAAATGGAAGAAGAAGAGAAAGGTTTTAAAATGTAAGAAGAGGTTTTCTTAGTTATAAAACTTCTTGTCTAAATTGCCCGGTGGCACTGAAGTATGGGACGAAACGGGTTAGGAAGTTAGTAAAAAGCCGAAAGAAACGTGAATACGTGGGCCCGAAATGTGACAGACTGCCATTCATCTTTTCCAATTAACTGTTGCTTTTTGCTTCATGCTCCCAATATCATTCATTTTCATTTGTTTACTTAAAACAATATTGTTTCCTCTGTTTATTTGTTTAAGAGCTGATAAAGACAGGGGAAAGAAGATGAATATAATAATTATGTTTCGGATTGTATGACAGTTGTGGGGATGGCCTTTAAGGGATGCATATTATTATTAAGAGTTTTTGTAATGAATGATGATTGGCAATGATATCTGTGTGGGATATCTAGATGGTGATATTTCCCGAAAAAATGGGGGAGGGGCGCTTATTAAAAAAGCAATCCGGGGGAAATGTTGACTTGAAGAGATGAACAGCTGGGACTTGGAAGGGTCAAACCATTAGTCGAAAGTGAGCTCGCTCAAGAAAAGCTAGTCGTTCTACACCATGTAGAGGTGGTCATACTACGAAACTTTTAACTGAGGAGAAAAAAACGAAACGTTAATAGATCTAAAACAGTTTAGGATAGGAATCCTACCTGCATCAACGCCCATGGTAAATCCAACAGTAAGGAAATAGAAAGCACACACGTAAATCCAGGCTGCTGTAGTGGTAGTTCCCAGCATCTTTCTGAAGCTCCAGTAAGACATGATCTCGGTGTGAGGCCACAGACAAAGGAATCACCAAAAACTCCAACAAGTGATGAGCAGTTGAAAGGGGTATGTAGGTATTCCAACCGGTTTAGTTCATTTATCCAATTGAAGCTTTTTCCATTGTGTATTTTTAAGAAATCTCCAGAAACAGCTCTTTGTGCGAGCGGTATGAATTTGAACGAAGAGAAGCGGAATCGGTAATCCAAAAGTGCTCGGTTCGGATTGGGGAAAAAACCCGGTCCTGCACACAGTATACCACGTAGTTTGCCAGAGCACACAGGAACAAGGCACGGTAAAAAAACAAAACAAAAATAAAAACACGCTACACAAGAAAACAGAAAGAACGGCAAAGGTGCACAGGCTCTGTAGAGGCAAAACACGTGCGCCCAGTGCCCGCTCACTCACTCACTCCCTCTCACAAGTTGGCGCGAGCGAAAGATAAGGCAAGCACAGTGACACGAGGGAACCACCACCCGTCTACATCTGCTGGCTGTTGCCTCCTCCGCTTACTCCTGAGGCGTATCTCATGTGTGCTGCTCACCAACTCCTCAAAGTTTTCTTCAGGCACGAATAGGTCAAAGTAAAAGTGTAAAAACCCGCTTTCTTCTCTCCTTGAGTCCTTGGAGAATAAACTTTGATTATCACAGCTTTAGATTAGATAAGTTAGAAAATAAGGATAAGCAGCTTTTGTATAGCGTACATTCCCTCTGAACAGCAAGCTCTGTGCACTACTATCTAGATCTAGAGTCTACTTACAAAGGAAATCTATCTAGATCTAGTTCTTTGTCTCATCTGGACGTCAATTTCTGTTTAATTTGATTTATCCAGGACAACCATTCAAGTGAAGCGTTCCCACTCACATGGTCAACTATTCACAGTGTACGTGAATCTGAAACTACTTTCCTACGTTATTAACTCTCGTAGTATCTTACTCCTGGAATAAATGTTATGAAAAGTTGCCGAAACTTTTCCAGCCACCTCGTGGGAAGCAGGCAAACCCACTCGGAAAACTTCTGAACCGTCTAGGCCTAAATTTAGAGCCTCTTTCCTAACAACAGCGATCCTGTTGTGTGGGAGAGAGCGCTGGTGAGCGCGCGTGTGTGTTTGAGTGTGTGAGTGAGGGAGTGAGTTCGGCGTGCACGCGAGCAGCTGTGGGTGTGGGTGAGCGCGGGGGATGCCAGACGGAGCAGTCAGTAGCTGCTGTGTGAGCTGAGGGGAACGACAGAGGCGCGATCCAATCTTTGCTCAGAGTAGGACGCCGAAAACAGCGGGATTCAGAGGGACGACTGCTTTGTTCTGCTTGACTGGGGTGGGCGTGTGGCGCTTCTACTCAACGCTCGAAGTAATCCTTTTTTTTTAATGTGTTGCTGCCTGCTTGTTCATGGGTCTCTTCGGGACGTCCGTGCAACACCAGGGAGTTAAAAAAGTAGGTTATTATAAAACTGCGGTTGAATCATTCATAATTCATCATAGTTCTTGTTACTGGATGAAGGAAATGTGGATTTTCGGGGTATTTGTTTTTGTTTAAAGAAAGGAATGAATGAGATACCAAAAAGAAAGAATAGAATAAATGATAAATAAAGATGAAAGCAGAGGTTGAGTTACAGAGAAGGTGTATGTGTGTGTGTGTGTGTGTGTGTGTGTGTGTGTGTGTGTGTGTGCGTGTGTGTACGTGTGTACATGTGTGTGCGTGTGTGTTTGTGTGTGTATGTGTGTTTGATTGTAACACAGACAGACAGACGAACAGACAGACAGACATATAGACAGACAGACAGACAGACAGACAGACAGACAGACAGACAGACAGACAGACAGACAGGTGAAATAGAGAGAGAGAGAGAGAAGAAAGGAAAAAAGAACCAAGAGGAGCGAAGCAGTGAAACGACACACCCCTTTTCTACTCTTGGTAGATCACTTCTCCGATGTGGTTTGACTGTGATAACTTTCCAGCGTTAAGAACGATTTATCCCGCGGATGTTTCTTCTCGAAACGTTGCTTTGCGGACAATACTATTTTCTTTATCAGCACTACCCTGGAGCAGTCATTTGCTTAGTGTGGTCGTAAATGAATATGACATTTTAAAATATTGCAACCCTCGCCAGCCTAGCTTTGTTTTGTTTTGTTTTTGTAAAGTGCTTTACGGCGCTCGCAACTGCATAAGGTCATATGAGCGCGCGGGACACATTAAACTTTTTCAGTTGTTCAGAAATTTTGAATTTTGCTCGGGTGGCGGCTGGAGCCTACTCTCATCGATTTTAGACCACCAAGGGATCTTTAACGTGCGCAACTTGCACACGGACCCTCCGAGATTTTTCGCCCTTGTCCGAGAAGGCTAGGTGTAGATTTTTCCTACCAGAAGA